AGAGAGAGAGAGAGAGAGAGAGAGAGAGAGAGAGAGAGAGAGAGAGAAAAGAAAAACTTAAAATTATTTCAAAATACAAAATAAATTGTGATAGAAAACCCACAGACCATACTTTTTCTCCTTTTTACTTCAGTTAAGAAAGTTACACAAAAGGTGGCAATTTTTTTTGTCGACAATAAATTAATAAATAATTTGTTGTTGCACGGGAACAAACGAAACATTTTTCTTCCAGAGCTAACGTTTTTTTTTCTTTTTCTTTTTTTTATAACTTATGATTAATTATACACATCTTTGGGAAAGAAAAAAAACCAAATAATAATTATCGGACGGACACTGATTCACACGAATGTCCCACGAAGCTTGTGGCAAAATAGAGGTATACCTTGTTGCAAATGCTTTTAGTACTCGGGTCATGACGTTAATGGAGTAATTGAATGAAGAAAAAAACTAAAAAAGGAGCAGTGATGTTCCACTTCCGGGCGGTCTGTTAGATGATGAAGTGCGTGTATCGAATGAAAAAACAAAAAAACAAAATCACCAGTTTTTCTATTCAGAGTTTAGAGCGCACAGCAACACGGGACTTGGATTTCTCTCCCGGTCAGAGGTCCCGTTAATCGGTGGAGTCAAGTTCTTTCTCGTTTTGGCAACTGTAACCAGGCGTGTGAACGTGCAGCAACCGGCCACGATGACGCGTCCGCTTAGTCCGTCTCCCGTCCTGGACGGAAAGTTTTAGAATGTGTGGCTGCGTGTGGTAAAATCCCATGATTGTCTTCACAGTGTCAAAATACAACCAGGGGAGGGGGTGGGCAAGGGGGGCTGTATTGGTGCAGTCGAGGAGGGATGGGATGAACGGAGTTGTGGGGGGGGGGGGGGGGGGGGGGGGGGTGGGTGGGGGCCGGGGGCGGGGGGGGGGGGGTCTGCGGGTTCAGTTCAAGTCCGTCCAAGCGCCGCCTAGGCCTCGATGGGGCTGGACACCATGCTGTTCGGCGTGTCTGGAAGCTGTGACGACATGGACGCTACCTCGCTGCCCGTCGAGTTCGAACCCGGTCCTCCTTCCGAGAAGCTGACCTGCAGGGAGACATAGCCAGGTTAGAAAATAATAATAATAATAATAATAATAATAATAATAATCTGGATACACTTTAACCGGAAGTTCTTTTATATTTTTTTTGGGGGGGGGCTGTTTCACCAAACACACAAAAAACCTGACACGGTCACGCACATCTATCAGACCGTTTCTTACAGCTTCTCACTGGGAATCAAGACTTCGTTGTTTCAGTTGCCTGGTTCTCTGCGTCTGGCAATTATTTCTGATATTAATTGTGGGTTTATTAATACCACACTATATAGCAGACTTTATTACCCGTTCCATTAAAGTTTCTGCGTGATGATTGTGTAATAAATAAAGGGAAACAGCCATATACAATATATAGTAAATAGGATCAAAATAAGTCCGCTCTGCTGGGAGTCAATGTCTTATTTGTAGCGATGTGGTAGACTACTCATCTGCATCTGAATGAAATAGTTCCAAATGTTGACTCAATCCGCAAATATCGTCTTCCGCCGCGGATGAATCGCGTGCCACACTCCAGTTCTCGTCAATTAATGCTAATAATCCACTTCTGTGGCGGAGGGGGACATTCGCGTGTCACGCTGTCTGTGCTGCGTCCCCTCCAAAAGACATGAAGCAACACGAGTAAAAAATAAATACGTCCCATCGTTGGTCCCGTGTCTCTACATCAGCATCCCCTGATGGGACAGGTGTGTGTTTTCCCCCTCCATAGCCAAAACATGCCTTCCTCTATGACTTTAATAAAGATGAGTGACATTAGTAGAAATACAAAAACGTGTTGGAAAATTAAGAAACCATTTGTCTTTTAATAAACGCGCGTCCACGGAGACGTTATGGATTTGAATAACAAAGGTCCACGGACTCAATACAGATTGTAAGTGTCCCATCATGGGATTGAGTGCACGCGCATATTTGTAAATTACAATTGAAAAACGAATTGGACATTTTGAATATTGCAACTGAATAAATACATTTCGAAAACAAAACAACAACAAAAACGGAACGAACCAGTTGCTGGAAGGCCGGCTGGTCGATGTCGCTCTGCAGGGCGAAGTCGCTGAGGACCTTCCAGGGCGGTTGGTAGCTCTGCACCTCCACCGGGTTGGCCTGGAGGCCGCCGTCGTGCCGCTCCGGACTGCCCGCCACCATCGGGGTGCCCGTCATTCCCTGGATGTTCTGCAGCAACAACAACAAGGATGGTCAGCGGTGGGACGGCATTGCACACGGTCGTATGTATGTGTGCGTGCGTGTGTGTGAGGGGGGCATCTGAAATGAATCCGCCAGTCAATAAGCGGGACAATCGATAAACAGCAAGCAAACAAATAAACAGAGAGGCGGATTCATATTTTCGTGAGCGTGCGTGTGCGTGTGTCTTCTCATCCATATAACCCTATAGCGCCTTCAACAGCTCGAGGCCTTTACGCCTTTTGGCCCCTGTCTGAGGCAAATGTGTGATTTGTTTTTTTTTGGTGGGGGGGTTATGAAAAATAAAATTGACTTAAGCTGGTCATGCCGGTTAAATGGATCCTGTTGTAAGAGTGTCAACATTTAGGGTCTGTCTTTGGTCAGAGGAATCCCCCCCATCCACTTACCGTCTTGTCGTTAGGCTGCTGCAGCTGCAGCTGCTTTATCAGGATGCTCCGTTTCTTGTCCTTACACCGCTTGTTCTGGAACCACACGCGGATGACGCGCGGGCTGAGGCTAGTCATCTCCACCAGCTGCTCCTTCATGAGCGCGTCGGGCCGCGGGTTGGCGTTGTAGCAGGTCCGCAGCGTGTGCAGCTGCTTCTCGTTCAGCACCGTCCGCACGCGCGTCGTCTTCTCCGGCTGCTTGTGGACGTGAGGCCGCAGCGCGGGCTGCCGGGCCGAGATTGGTTCTGCTGTGGGGAAAGGACGGGACACACACCCAGGGGAAGAGCGAAATCAATGCATCTGTCTGTCTGTTCCAGATTTTAAAAAAAATAAAAAAGAGAGACAGAAATAGTGTGGACGAACAGAGAATATTTGGAGTTTTATAAATTAGTTTAATCCTCGTGATAGAGACATTTCTGGTTTTGGAAAAGCACACAAATTCCAGCTGACATTATACATCTCGCATTATAGCAGCAAAATGTGTCTTTTTTCTTATTAAAATATAGTAAACTTGTAAACACGAGCGCATTTCAGGAGAACAGCGCAGCCTGGATTGACTCGTCTGATCTGAGGTCAGATTAGACACCAATTCAAGGGCAAACTGGCGATGCTGCTGCTGCTGTTGTCTGGAGAGAAAACCCTTCCCGACCCGCACAGTGCTGCGCCCCGCCTCCAGCCCTGATAATGGGTGGGTTTTTTTCTGACAGCTGTGCCCCACTGTATCTAATCTACTTACCGGATAGCGGTATATATGCACGAGAAAAAAACATAGGCCTACAGGGGGACAGAACCAGCACGACCTCAATGAGCCAAAGCAGGACAAATACATATAAATGAATAACAGCTCCACTTGTTTAGTTATGGCACCAGGCAGGAGCAGCTTCCACATGGCTGCATTATATTTACATTCAAATATAGATCATATAGAGTGAATCTCTCTGCCAACTCAAGAGGCAAAGAAAAACATCTGGTGTCTCGTGGAGAGTCAACTCGGATAATCAGTTTATTCATAAAGAGCGCCTGACCAACATCCAATGATGGGGGGTGTCGGAACTTCGTGAAAAGAGCAAATCTGAGTTAAAGCACGTGTATTCCAGCGGTAAAAAAAGCAAAAACAGTCCTCGCGGCCCGTCTCCAGCTTTACCCCCCACCCGGGACTTTTACCTGCCATCTGCAGCGGCCTGGCGGGGTGCAGCGGGCTGAGCGGGACGCCACCGGGGCCCATGCTGGCGCGCTCCACCACGTCGTGGTCGGCCCGGCAGAAGAGCCCGTCCTCCCGCAGAGCGAACTCGTCCCCAGGTATGAGCTGTCGGCTGCAGGCCACGCAGCGGAAACACTCGATGTGGTAGACCTTGGAGCGGGCCCGCATCACGAAGTCGTTCTTGCTGAAGCCGATGTTGCACTTGGCGCATTTAATGCCGTACAACCTGCGGGACGCACGCGCGCACACACATACATAAACACACACACAAAAACACACGCGGTCTGATCAGTTTGACTGCAGGGCAGGCAGCTCAGTCACTCACACGAAAATGTAATTATAAAATAATTATAAAATAATTATAATAATAAAAAACAGTATGACCAAAATAACATAATCAATAATTAGTGATATAATAATAATAACAACATTATAATACAATGTTTTAAAAATCATTTAATCCATTATTTATTTTATCGTAGAAACCATATTTAATTCATTATTTTTCTTATTATCATAATTATACCTCGAGATGATATAATTCCAGTGAATTTTTAGTTGTTTTTCTCTCCGACACTTTTATCTACAATGTGAATTATTTCAGTACAGCTTTAATAATAATGTTGTCATTATACAACAACTGAAGGACAAGTTGTCATCGAATAATTGTTCACGTAATAACACCAAAATCACTAAGTTATTTACAGGCTGTCATAATAGAAAACAGCGCCATGATGTTTTATTATGATTTTTCTTCAGCCACATTCTGATCGGAGTCATCGATTAATAAATCCGTTATGATGGCCTGATGTGCAACATATATATATATATATATTTATATTTGTAAATGATGTCATAACACAATGACTGACATGTCTACAGTTAAAAAAGAATTTATGATCATCACCTCAAAAAAAAAAGAATTCAACCCACTGAAATCAGATCTCCGTGTGACTTAAATCAGTCCGATTATTGGCAATATTGTAAAATGTAAAAAATAAAAAATAAAATAAAAAAATATTTATTCCAATCGTGCAGGTCCAGCTCTCGGCCCCCCTTTCACGTGTCTGAAGAGTTGTCGTCCCGTCCCGGGCGTCCTACCTGATGTAGTCCCGTTTACAGTAAGTCTTTCCGTCCCGGACGAAGCACGTGCAGGACTCGTCCAGGTACTGGTTGCACTCGGCGCATTTGAGGCAGGCGGCGTGCCACTCCAGGTCCGGGGAGACCCGCAGGATGTACTGGTCGTGGATCTGGTTCCCGCAGCCCACGCACAGAGATATCAGCCGCTTCTCTGGAAGACCACGCACGAGCAGGACACACATCACACACACTGCACAAACTTAAAGACTCGTCTAATGATGAACACAAATGGCCTTACAATATAATTATTTTGAACAGTCGTATTATTATTATTTATATGGTTGTTGTTTGTATTTGGCCTATACGTGAACTGTTATTTTTTTTAACATATAGTCTAAAATAAAAAAGAGTCTGCAGGTAACATCCACTGACTTCAACTTCTAAATTCTGTATTTTATCTTGACACCAAATGCTCCGAACAGGCCGGTTCTGTCTACACCACACAACACAACAAAAGTCGACCCCTTTGAGGTTGCGGCGAATTTCCAGTCCCGGAACCGCATCCACAGAACACCGAACAAGTGGGGGCTTACTTTTCGGCGGATCCCCCATGTCTCCCATGTCCACAAAGTACGGCGATGCTAGGTCCACTGTCGCAGCGGGCTGCGGCGGCGCCTGGAAGCCTGGATGTTGTCCTCCGCTGCCGGGGGCTCGCCGGGGCCAGGGGGGGGGCGGGGAAGGGGGGCTGGCTGTGTGCTGTGCCGTCCGGCTCGGAGAAGAGAGAGTGTGCGTGCGTATATGTGTGTTTCTTTTGCCGGTGTGTGTGGAGCTCTGGATCCCGACGAGCAGGCGGGGGCTGACGTAGGACAGTGGCACGTCATCTGCATGAGCAGCTGATTGGCTGGTGCGGACCCTGACCAGCGCTAACCCCACACACACACACAAACAAGCGCACTTGCGCGCGCGCGCACACACACACAGGCTGGCACACTTATTGCTGCATATCATTTGTTTTCCAGCTTCGCTTTGCTCTTTTCGGATCTGTTAATCTTTTCTCGTATTTATTTATTTGGGTTTTTTTGTGCGCTGTTGGTGCTGAGTGGACTGTTTACATGGTCAACTATACAGGAAAACACCTCACTTCATCTCTTCTTTTTACTTTTATTTAAACTGAACATACAGTAATTCATACGGGGGCGGGCTCATGGACATAACAGGCTCGCAAGAGGGATTAAAGAGTTAAGACTTAATGTATCCAATAGTGTGCATATTTGACTGTATTTGACTGTGCATATTTGCGCCAGGATAAAAACCACGCATCCTCACAATGGTTCACTTTTCAGAAACTCCGAAAACTAATTGTGAGCTCAAAGTACCATTCTTGAAGAGAAGAGTCGCTTTGGTTGAACCTAAAGAAGAAGAAGAAGAACATATCATCAGCAGCTGATGGTGTGAGAGCTGTAAATCAGAGCGGTGACAGGCCAGAGACCCGCAGCAGCAGCTCAGACACACACCTACGCCCTCTTGTGTTAGTAACCTCATCACGCCTCAAACGCACCACAGCAGCGGGCAGGTTTCATTTGTTTAATTTGAAAGGAAAATGGAATGGCCTATTAGCCGGCGTGAATAATAGGCAGACTACTTTGTCTCAAGTGATGAGCAAACGTTTGGCTCTAGTGGGTTACAAACGGTATCCACCGGCAATCTAATTGAAGTTGATTTGTTTTCTCTTCTTTTCAGCTGTGGCGGTTCTAGAAAATGTCATATGGAGGGGGGGAGGGGGGTCCATCAAGTCTGAAGTCTTTAAATTGAATATATATATATTTTCTTACCTAGATCCTGTGAACTGGCTAGTAAACTTAAACCTGGTGGTCCAGTACTAGATGCACAGGTGTACCTCATTCTACACTTTGGTTCCCCTTCTTGTTCTGTCTCTCCAGGTCTTGCTCTTCATCTGGATCTAAATATTGTTTTGAATGCCTCTGCAGGTCTTCCTCTCTCTCCAGACCTCCATCATTTATTCTTTTTTCTTTTATCTTAAAAAAAGAGATACATGTTTTGATATAATGTAAAGCAGTAAACAGTGTTTAATGACCGACATAATTACAGCCGAGTAGCTTCATCTAATTTAAGGATCACATCACAACTTTTCAAAACAAATACATGCCTAATGGTTAACATAATGGTAACAAACGTGTGTTCATGATCATTTGTGTTCAAACGTATGTAGACCCAGTGTGTGCTTGTAATTGACTCGTTTTTTCCAAAAACACTGCATGCATGTTCTCTGAACCAGCAAGTAAAACCCCATGAGTCCTAAAGGCTGCATGGCAGTAAATACATCTCACACTCATATCTTCAATGGTAATTCATCAAAAGGTTCTTGTGGTTGAACGTCTTTTAAAAGAACCAACAGTCTATCTCATCACAATCAAAATTATAAATATTTAAACCTATTATTAATATCATTTAGCGTATTTATGGAATCTAAATAATTACTGTCAATGACTGTATGCACAGAGTAGCTGTTGATTCAAGTACCACAGTCCGTCACCCCTTTCAAGGTAATCTTCCCGGAGAACTCTGACTGACGCACTGACAACAAATAGAATAGAAGTCAATGGAATGTGAAAATATGTGTCTCCGTTCTTCATCTGCGAAAACAGGAATTTCTTTTTCTTCGTGTAAATAGTAATTTCAACAAAAGAATGCAGCAGGAAGTAGCAGAGTGGAATACAACACAAATAGTGTGACATGTAGGAGAAGTGTTCAAGCGCACAGAGCAGGTGTACAGGTGAACAGCGTCAAATATTTAACTAATACATATCACAATGAAACTTCCCCAATTGATTAACATTAAGACAAATTTTTTTTTGTATTACAAGTTTTCTGAAATGTCATGTTTAAATATTCAAATGAGGCGTTATCTAACGGTAACCTTTGGTGAATTTAGGAGAAATCTAAAGACGTAAATAGACAAAGTACAATAAACTCCTAAATGTGTATTTTGGATGTTTTCTTGCCACTAGTCTGAAAGACGACATGTTATGGAAGCTCAATAGAACAAACATCTCTAAATGGACCAGTGCATGAAGAAAAATGTTTTTGCCCACTAAAAGGTGAAAGCTCATTTTCTCTAAGCTATGCAACAACCTGCCTTACACTAACAATCCGGATCTCTGCTTTCACAGTGTTTATTTGCTTTACTGTAATGGTAGTTCATTGCTGCTTTCCTTAAATAGATTATGATTGTAGCAGAGTAGTAATTCCTTTTTATGAAGGAGTTTTCCTTACTTGTATCTCCCTCTTTTTATTGTCATTTATTATTGTCTTGTTTCTCTTCTTTTTTTTTAACATGTCTTGTATGTTATTTAAATCACGTTGACAAATTTGTAGAATTGATTTGTTGTGGTTGTGTGCCTTGCCTCCCTTTACAGCATGGGGGCCAGCCCCTAGACTTATGGGGGCCCTAGGCAGGGTTTGGTTTGGCTTAAGTGAGCACACCTCATAGTTTGTTTCACAGAAAGCACATATTCAACTGTTGGTGTCCACATACCTCTCTGGTCAGCTCGTTCATCTGACAGACAGGGCAAACAACGTTTTAAAAAGTGCTCAGCCTATTATCATTACTGGCATTGTCCTATTGACTCCCATGCAAACTGCAAAGTCATTTCACAATATGGGATAAATAATATTGTAGACATCTACGTTCTGTATTTTCTCTCTCTATAGCACTCTATCCGTATCTGTATTCTGGTTTCAAAAAGTCTGGTTTGTATTGAAGTCTATGAGAAAATGACTCTATTTCTCACTTGATTTATTACCTCAGTAAACATTGTAAACATGAGTTTATGGTCTCAGTCTTTAGTTTCAAGTCTTCTTCAATACAGCATGATGTTCATTTAGTAAATTATGATCCATTTAGAGTCAAATAGACCATAAAGCAGGGGATGCTTTAGGGCGGGGCTACCTTGTGATTGACAGGTTGCTACCATGATATTGTCCGGTCTTGGAGTTGTTTGTGTTTTCGTCTTACAACTTTCACCCTTTCACAGTGTGTTTTCACTTCATCACAGGTAATTATAATATTTTGGTCTCCTAAAAATGTGTTCAGTGTTTAGTTGTACTTTGCTCGAACCTCTGGTGTCACATCTGGTTGAAAAAAACAAAATGGCGACGGCCATAAACCAAGATGGCGACAGCCAAAATGCCCAACTCGAGGCTTTAAAATGGCAGTCCACAAACTAATGGGGGACATCATGGTGACTACATTCACTTCCTATATACCGTCTTTGTATTAATTAACATATAACTGTGTGTATTTCAATGCCGGCTGATAAAAACATGGCAAAATACACACAAAAGAACATGGAATAACTGTAAAAATGACACCAGGATTAATCTAGCCTGACTGTCAGACTAGCTGTTAGCAGGCTATAGTTGCACAGAATAAATGTCCATGGTAATGTATGTGTCACTGCTCTCATGAACCAAAATCACAGCTTAATTCAGCCAGGATAACTGCAAAAATCCCGGTTTAATCCGCTATCTAGGTTTTGTGAAATAGCCCCAAATGAGTGTAAGCCAATGTAACGTTGTGTGTGTGTGTGTGTGTGTGTGTGTGTGTGTGTGTGTGTGTGTGTGAGTGTGAGTGTGTGTGTGTGTGTGTGTGTGTGTGAGTGTGTTTTCAGCCCAGCCGCCCGCTGACTTCAATGGAAAACCTGCTCTAATTACAGTTTGGGATGCAGTGAAAGACCGTGCTTCTGAACGTAGAGTGTCGAAGAGGAAAATCACAGCTGACGTTTCTGAGAGCCGCCACACTGACAAGCCTTGTAATTTGTCACCCAGTGAAACCTCGTTTTCCTCATCAACAACACTGTTGTCACTAATTCAAACACTGGAGGAAGAAACCGTGACAGATTTCTTCTTTCCACCCAGCCTACAAATTATATTCTCTGTTTATGATATGTCCGGAAGCTACTGTAACTTATTTTGGGGGTTTTATTTATTTGACAAGCCAATCAGTCAACAACACATTTTATATCAAGAGCTTTTCACTCAGGTTTGGAGTCAATAATAAACACTTGTGTTGAAGGAAAAACATATATTAATACAGAAAAAAATCACAAATATGATGATGAAATAATGAAGTTCCTGTGGATTAAAAAAAACGGAATACTGTTTCAATTTACAGTCTTAAAGGCCGTTTTCTTTAAATGAGTTTTTTCTCCGTTTCTGATCCATAAATCTCCTCTTCAGTAGCTCTTACATTCACCAAACTTTACACTTTCATTCTTCTCTGTATTCTGACGGTTGTTACAGAGGGGTTAGTTCATATATCATTCATAGACTGATTCATACAACATCTTACTCCTGAAAACATAACGACATTTGATTTTTCTATGGCTGTTGACAGTATTGTCTGATTTTTGGAGTGATGCAAAGAGA